AAAAAAAAAAGACCATTGTATTAAATGCGCTATGGGGTGGAGTTTTGGTAAATGGTTTTCCAAGAAGCTAAAGATGTTCTAAGGAGAGTGACCCCTGTGGCTTGCTGTTAGGTTCATCTTTTCTCAAAGGTGATGCAGATAGGTTTCCATTTGCAGTTAACCCAATACCACTCCAGTCTTGGGACGCAGTTGATCTATCCCAATATTCCAATCACAGCAGAATGATACCTCACCTGGCGACTCATCCATACTTATCAATGTCTACAGTAAGGAGTGAAGAGAAGAAACAAAAAGGCATTACAGTATTATATTTCCCCTACTTGGAAACAACAGTTTGATCAGAAATGGTTAAATTGTTAGATGCTTTCCAGCCTGTTTGAAATAAAGAGCTCGCTCTGGAATACAAAGTTCATGAAGGGGATAAAAAGGAGCTTATCCACAGGATTCTCATCTGTGTATCATCTATACTGCCAAATGCAAAAAAGTATTAAGTCTTTTCTACAAGGTTCAGTGCTCAGTCAACTGATACTTCCCATTCGCATAGGGCATGAACTATTGGTTTTGCTCCCATGGCCCTATGTACTTAAAAGATGCTAGTTATTTCTGTGCATGGTTTTTTCCCATCTTGGACAAAGTCTGTCTAGGAGCAGTGCAAGCTTCCTGTCTCCACATTCCCTCCAGATGAACAAGAGTATCATCTTCAAACAAGAGACTTCCCTGTGGCAGTTAGCCTTAAGTGTCTGGCAGGTCTGCCACCAAGAAGTAGTCATTCGCCAAGGTGGCCTCCTGTGGTCTGGGCTGGATGGAGGAATGTCAGAAAAGCACCTGTATGGAGAGGAGTTTTCCAAGGATCAGGCGGGCTCTGGGGGAAGAACTTCGGGGAGTGCTACCTGAGCCCATTTACGCTTTGCAGGGGTTCCACAGCCTAGCTTCCAGAATAAATGGGTTTGGGGTTATTAACAGAAGAGGGTTAGGAGCCCCAGGTCCTTTGCCTGGAGGAAATGGTGTGACCAGGAATAAGAATGGAAAATGCTGACTGAGGCACGGGATAAGACTCTCAGGTGCCAGCCAAGAGGTTCCTCAGCCAGAACCCCTGACAAAGACAACACGATTCCCTTATTCCAGAAGCTCAGGTCACGCACATTCAGGGCACTGCCAACATAATGTCAGCGGCGGTTTGAAGGCTAGATTGCCACCTGTCGTTGGGGTTTTTTGTCTTTTAGGATCAGGAGTGGGACTTGTTGTGCTGTGGGATGAAGTTGAGGGTATTCCTTTCCTCCCCCAAGAAATGATCCACTCTCTTTTCTCCCATGCTATTCCTGGAGTACTTTTAAACAGCCACATTTTCTGTGGATAAAGCAAAAAGGCATGGGCAATGCTCAGGGATTTTAACTGGTCCTGGAATTAGAAGGTAGATTCATGGAAAAGAGTCCCCCCAGGACGCCAGGGTGGAAGCCACGCCTGCAGGCAATGGGGAAATTGGCATTAGAAGGCTCCCATCACCCTCCCGAGGCAGCTATCAACATCTGGGACTGTAGTTGGGGACAGACATGGGGGTGGGAGCTTGGTCCACGATGACTCAGCTCTCTTGGGACAGGCTGCATCTATGATGGCTCCAGCAGGCATATTCTAAAACGCATCTTTCTGGAAATCTGAAACACTAATTCAAAAAGATACGTGCACCCTAATGTTCTTTGCAGCATTATTTACAATAGCCAAGATACAGAAGCAACCTAAATGTCCATCGATAGACGAATGGATAAAGGTGTGGTACATGTGTGCAATGGATTATTACTAAGATGTAAAAAAGAATGAAATCTGCCTTTTAGGGACAACCTGGATGGATCTAGAGGGTAGGTACTATGCTAAGTGAACTAAGTCAGAGAAAGACTAGTACCATATGATTTCGCTTATATGTGGAATCTAAAAAACAAAACAAAAAATAAATGAACAAACCCAGAAACAAACTTAGATTCAGAGAACAAACTGATGGTTGCCAGATGGGAGGGGGTTGGGGAATGAGTGAAAAAGGTGGAAGGGATTAAGAAGTACAAATTAGCAGTTGCAAAGTTGTCATGGGGATGTAAAGTACAGAATAGGGAATATAGTAGATAATATTGTAATAACTGTATGGCATGAGATAAATACTAGACTTACCAGGGTGTTTCCTTTGTAAGGTATGTAAATGTCTGATCACTATGTTGTATGCCTGAAATTAATATAATATTGTACATCAACTGTACTTGAAAAATAAAACTAAAATAAAAATTAAAGCAAAATTTTTTAGTAAAAAAAAAAAAAAAATCCATCTTCCTTATCATAACCCAGATGTAGGATTCCTTCCGGCCACCAGCTCAGCAAAAACTAGCAGCTGGCTCAGAACCGCATTACTCAAACCTCCAAGACTCATGGCCTCATCTCCCCATTAGCAGGGACCCTCCACAGGAGGGCTGAATTCATTTGGCTGACAAAGAAAAACAACTTCCGAGCAGCCTGTTTGATAACCCCTCAGCACAGCTAAATGAAGTCTCAAAAAAACCCAATCCTCAGTTGGTTTAGAAGATCAATCTCTACTCCCTGGGACACACCCACCCTCCAGTCTAAGCAACGGCTGAAGAACTTAAGTGCAGTTTAATATGTACTCTCTGCTTCCCCTGCAAGGAAGGAAGAGATTTATAATATAAATAGGAGAGAGCAGGCTTTGCCTCATTTATGCTGTTTGGAAGACTGATGGCCAATTTGGAAGACTGCTGGACAGAGAAACAAAGCCAGCACTCCACTTAGCCAAAGAAGAACCTCTATTGAGTTTTAGGTGGTGGTCTTACAGATAAGCATGAGGAAAGAAAACTTTCTCTCCACTCCGACCTTCTAATAATAATAAATAATAATTATGGAAGCAGCTAATATTTATGAAACATTTCTTGGTGTCAGGCTCTGTGCTAAGCCCTCGACGATTTTCTCATTTTATCCTCACCGTCATCTTAGAGGATAAACACCCATTTGTAGAGGAAGAAACGGAAGAACAAAGGGTCATAGAGCTGGCAAGTGACGAGGGGAGGGGTTCGAACCCAGAAAGCAGAAGCCCCAGAGGTTGCAACCTCAGCCCTGGAGCCCTGACCTACAATACCTCTGGTTATTCATGGAAGGGCATGAAAGCATCAATCACTTTCACAGCCATGAACTCCACCAGTCTCCCCAGTCTGTCACCAGCCATCGGGAACTGCATCAGGCTATTTTCGGGCTCTTCACCAAACCAGCAGGGAAATGAAGCCTGGCAAGGCTGACAGGAGACCGACCCCCAGTTAGGGGAATTTTCAGTGTAGAGAGCGGAGACCGAAGGTTTGAAATCTGTCATTAAAGGAAGGCTCAAGCTCAAGTTTTCTTCATTTCCAATTCCATTTTCTTCGCTATCCCTTCTGTCACTTCACCTCCCACTCCCTGTTTACGAAGAATCTTCATTTGTAGTTTTCTTAAAGTTTGAGTGGGTCTCACCTGTAGGACACCTCACTACAAAGCAGTCCCTACAAGGAAACCCTGGAGTGGGAGGGGCCCTCCTCTTCTCCCACCTGTAAAGATGAACTTAAGGGTCACTAGGGCTTCTTGGATTGGGCTTCCCGGCCGGCCTAGGTCTGTGGCGAAGAGAAGGAGGACCCAGGATCGGAGGAAGCCAGAAGAAGAAAGTCCTAAACTACTGAATCAGCAGGAGAGACTGGAAAGCCCAGAACACACAGCCCTGCCCTGCAGCTTGGCGGTCTGTGAGCCTGACAGTGTGTTTGTACCTGTGGGGAGGGGATGGGCATTGGGCCCCTCAGTTCAGGCTGGCTGAAAAGAATCAAGAGGCATGTTAAACGTCTAGGCCACCCACCGCTCCCCTCCCCTTGACTTACCCCGGGGAGGAGAAGATTTGGGAAATATTAGGAAAACCTGACAGTTGTACTCTGAAAACTACAGGTCAGCTAATGACAAACTGGCAAGAGGCTCCGAATGAATGGGCAGTTTCCGCACTGCCCCATTCAGTCTCAGCAGGTTTGCGGTGAATGTTGTTTAACCCTTTCACAGATCAGAAGAAAAGGTCTCTCCGCTGCCAGAGAGCCCACCCACCACTATCCATCCACCTCTTGGTTCTCTGTG